CGGTGTGGCCTGAGGCGCGGCTCCTGCTGTGCACGTTTCACGTGCTGCAGGCCGTCTGGCGATGGCTTCACAACGGCAAACATGGCATCGACAAGCAAGTGAGTAGTTTCTACTGGGAATGAATTTCCGTTCATTTTTGTCTAATTACCCCTTTTTGAGAAACACAGAGAGAGAGAGAGAGAGAGAGAGAGGGAGAGAGAGGGAGGCAGAGAAAGAGACAGAGACATAGAGAGAGGGAGGGAGAGAGAGAGAGAGAGAGAGAGAGAGAGAGAGAGAGAGAGAGAGAGAGAGAGAGAGAGAGAGAGAGAGAGAGAGAGAGAGAGAGAGAGAGAGAGAGAGAGAGAAAGAGAGAGAAAGAGAGAGAAAGAGAGAGAGAGAGAGAGAGAGAGAGAGAGAGAGAGAGAGAGAGAGAGAGAGAGAGAGAGAGAGGCAGGCAGACAGCTGGGCAGAGGCAGGCATAGGCAGGCAGTCAGGCATAGACTAGACAGGCATAGGCTGGCAGTCAGGAATAGACATGCAGTGATACTGGTCTAAAAGCTGTAAAAGAACGTAAATGAGTTTGATTAATTTCATCTCAAACACCCCCTATATTTACATTTACCTTCACCCTTCACCCTTCACCCCTCCCGCCTCCCACACTCGGATACCAGTTAAATTGTGCATTTTCTTCCAGCACAGGCAGGCTATCATGGCACTAGCCAAACAGCTCGTGTACGCCAACAATGAGGCGGAGATAGCGACGACGATGGAGCTGGTGGCTACCGAGTGGGGCGAGCGCTACCCACTGCTGGACCAGTACCTGCAGGGTTTCGCTGCCCGCCGTCAAGAGTGGGCGCTGTGTCTCCGCACGGATGTCCCCACCCGGGGACACAACACGAACAACATCGTAGAGTCCGCCTTCAGAGTCCTCAAAGACTCTGTCCTCTACAGGTCAGTCTTTATTCATATGTTTCACCTAATTGCGGTTCAATAAATAAAACAGTTAACCTGGCGTTCATAGACAAACCTGTCTTTTAACTAAAGTTGATTGTAAAACTGTTTCGGTGACCGGAGGTATTGCGATAGATTCATTACTATTTTAAAATATTTCAAGTTGTAAGGTTGCCCAAAAGTGGCAAATGTTGAAGAAATGTCAAAGTTGCAGTTACAGACAAATTCCAATTAATAAAGACAAATAATTGGAAAAAAAGCCAAAGCAGGGGAGTAGTTTTCCTTTCAATATAGGTCGGAGGGCTGAGAGTTAGCCGGTAAAATGTTCTCGAAAACACCATCAAAATCCCTAGGACTGTGCAATTCTCCCCAGTGTCTGCCAAAGTTCAGAGCCTGAAGCCCCCGAAACGGAATTGGACCATACATCCCTTCGTCAAAGACGTTAATTACTAACTTGTGACTTTCATGGATTAACACGGATTAACTTGTGAATATCACGGTTTTACATTTCTGTTAACCCTACATGTGGAAGAAAAACAAACTTTCGCATTTCGGGTAGGTTGTGAAATTGTTAGTTGTGCTTTTGGCTGCTCTTCTGAAAGCCTTATTGTGTCCATACGATGGCAGTCTACCGTTAATTATAGCTGCAAAGAAATTGTTGAAATATTCGCTTGACACGCGCTGTTTTTCCAGGACTCGGGCGTTCATCCTGCTGCAGCTGTTTGATTTCGTCACGGTCCAGCTCAGCAAGCACTACGCCAGGAGGGCGTGCGACGTGGCCAACGGCCGGCAGCGGGCGGCACCGGTCCGCGGCGGCACCAGCCAAGAAACGGGCACTGTGACGCAGGTATTTTGCATGACACGAGAACTGATTGAGGTCACATAAGACAGCTCGTTTTTCAATGCTGGTCCCACCCGTACTGCCACATGGCTGTGCAAAGTGACCAATGCAATCGGCGCACCCCTAAGCACCAATAAACCACATTGCTGTGCATTCACACACAAGAGTCTGTCACTGTACCGCTGTGCCACTGTAGGGCCGCGTGGTGTTGGCGCTGTGTGCCACATCTCGTGACTCGTTTCGCGTTTTTTCTTGTTTCTTCTTTTTTTCCCTTTGGGGGTCTGTTTTAAAAGGCCAAGCTGACAGTACTGGGGCGAATGAACAGGTTCGGATTTTCGTACAAGTAACCGTCCGTCAGTTTATGTTGTACAGTCTGTCTTAAAAGTCCGCGAAAAAGCAACGGTGGATCCATCAAGCCTGACCGAGGAAGGGCCTGCTCAATTTGAGTCATCAAAGCAATTGATATTCTCGTCCATTCCCCAGGTCAATTGGTTCGGTGACTTTCAAAGTAAAGCAGGCCTTTCTTCAGTAAGGCTTGATGGATCCACCGTCACTTTGCGCGGTACTTTTAAGACAGACTGTACATACGAATTTTACAGGATTTTATGTGTTGCCCCTCCCACAGGTGACGGAGTTCACCTATCAGGTGAAGTCGCTGACGTCGGTCGGCATCACCTACCTGGTGGACCTGAACGTCGGCGCCTGCACCTGCAGGATGAACCGGCGGACTGGCGGCTGCAAACACCTCCGAGCCGTGCGGCAGCAGACTGGCGCTGTGCCGGAGGCGACGGCGACAAAGGAGACGCGGAGGGCCTTGATGGACATCGCCATGGGGACCAGCCAGCAGCTGCCAGGCAACTGGTTCGACCCTCTGGTCGCCGAGCCGTCCACCTCGTCACCTCCTGTCCCCACGCCCGCCAGCGCCCCCGGAGTCGCGCAGCCCCAGCCGTCGCCGAGTCCCGAGGAGTACGACGACGACGCAATGGACTTCGAGGACCCCGCCGCTGCGGCGGCGGCTGTCAGTGGAGCTGAGCAGCGACGCTCAGATGACCGGACACGCCAAACCGTGGCGTTCATCCAGGAGTGGGCAGCCTTCATGTGCGAGGCAGTCGTCCAGGACGACACCTGGGAGAGGGCTGCCGCTGCCTTTCAGCAGAGGTGGGGCCAGCTGCCCACTGCTGGCCGCCAGTCCGCTCTGCACCAGTTTGGAGGCGCGCAGGGCTGCCGGCGGAACGCCACCCAGATTCCGGTCCAGCCGACCAGCACTGCCCGTCGCACCAGCACCAACGTGCGGGGGCGCGCTCGCTGGCCCGCTGGACGGCCGTGCCGCTCCGCGCGCACCGGGGAGCACGGCTACGTGGCAGCCTCCGCCAGGCGGTCGGCGGCGCCCCACAGCCTGGCCACCTGTGTTGACCAGAACCGCCCCCTGGGGCGCTGAGTGATAGAGGTGAAGTGGGGGTGACCGGGGCAAGTTGGTGCCAGGGGGGGGGGTAAGTTGGGACGGAAGGGATATTTCCAATACTTCTCGACAGGTTGGCGTTCAAACTTATTTTGTACATGAACAGTAACGCCGTCTGTTTGTCAACGTGGTGTCGGCGCGTGCTGAGGTAAGTGCTGTTAATAATCGCTACAAATGTGTTTCAGGTACCAAAAGTGATTTTCTTGCTGTGAAAATATTCTCTTCTAGTGTCGTTGTGTGTGCCTTTTTGTTTGCCGCAGGAGTACTGCAAACGTTTGTGTTTTGTCGTTAATGCCCGCATGGATTAGCGATGATTGTTCATGTGAAACATGAATAAAAATGTGTTTAGATAAACTGTTTTTCCTAGTGTACCAACTTGCCTTAGGCCTTGGCCCAACTGACCCCCCGCCGCGGGGTAAGTTGGGACATTGGAGGATGGCCGCTTTGATCAGATATGACACCAAGACGATGCTACCATCTCTCTTATATTAAGTCTTCTTTAAAAGATAAAGAAATCAGATCTCAGTTAATAGCCAACAAATAATGATGTATAGTTATACCGAAGTTATGACGCTTCAAGCAATAACTGGCTCAACTAGCGTTAGCGGAATGACGCAAAATTAGCAGGTGACCAGTGACCACTTCCAGTTCGCTAATATGTTTGCATCATTAACATACCTTCCACTATAAGCACGGTTTCTCAATCTTAACATAAAATATAACATCTTTTCATGTAATTTGCATCTCTAATATACCCCAGTCAAACTTGCATCACTAATGTAGTGGGGGACTTCTTGGGAAGAATTAGTTTCTAGGGACTTACACATTTATGCTCATTTCCCCACATTTGTCGCCAGGGGGAGAATTCCCCAGAATTTTCCGCTAGGAGTGGCTGAGCCCTATGGTGAATTCAAAATACGCGTTTAGCATTACGAAAAATGGTGACAGACGTTTGTGGAGGATTGTCGACGAACTCTTGTTCCGCGAGCAGTACTTACACGCTAGCGGAAAATTCACCAATCAGCGCTCGGCAGTACTCGACGCTGATTGGTCCGACGCTCGTGACGAAATTGCGGGGGACCGCAGTTATTCTCTATGGACCCGAATAGGCTTTTGGATTTCGGAGGAGTTTCTTTAAAATTATATGCTGTTTGGAGCTGTTTTCGAGTTGAAATATATTTCTTATGACTGTTAGCTATATAATGACACCATAAAATCATGATTTTAATAAATATTACCGATGTAATATCGGCCGAAAAGACATACTGTCATGGCACGGACTGCCCTGCGGCTGATGTGGGGCCCCTAGTGCCAGCGTATGGTAATAATGGGTTGACGAAGGGTTATTGGAGAAACTTAGAGCCCCTTTAGCATTCAGTATAGGGTCATCAGAGGCCGGGAATGTCCATCAGGGGTCTGAGTAGGCCTGTCATAGGGGCATACATGACACATCATGGCCCATGGGTCAATGTAGATCCATTAGGGGCCGTTGAAGGGCCATCATTGTTCAGCGTGGGCTCGCAATTACCTCTGATGGGCATATGCTGCCCCGATGGACTAACGCTGGCCCCTGATGAACCATCACCAGCCCCTGATAGGTCTACAAAGCCCTCTGCTGGGTCCAAATTGGTCACTGATATGCCCAAATGGGCCACTGAGAAACCCGTACAACATCCCCTGACTGCACCTGCTGGACCAATGCCGTCCCCTCATGGGCCCACCACAGCTCTTGAATGACCTTTTCAAGTCCCCTGAAGTGCCTTTATTGGCCTAAATGGCCCCTGATTGACTGATGTGGTCCCTATTGGTCCTATATGGCCCCCATGAGCCCTCAACGTCGGCCTAGACAGCCTTACATTATATGCCACTGGGCCCTGTTGGGTCAGCACCGGCCCCCGATAGGCTTGCACACTGGACCCACCGGGCCTATACCGACCCATGAAGGGTCTATGTCGAACCCTCACGGACCTCCGATGACCACACGCCGACATGTGTGGCCCCATCAGCAGTGGTCCGTCTATCCCATGTACTTACGGTCTTTTTGGCCGATGTGACACCGGTAGTATATAGAATGTCATGATTAAATGTCGTTATTACACAGTCAAAAGTCACAGAAAGAATATCCAAGCTCAAAAATGGCCTCAAACCCAACAAAACTGGTATAAATCCCCTTCAAAAGCCGTAAGTCTATTAAACGCCATAGGGGAATAGCTACAGTCCCCCGCAATTTCGTCACGAGCATCGGGCCAATCAGCGTCGAGTATTGCCGAACGCCGATTGGTCGATTTCCGCTAGCCTGTAAATGCTGCTTGCGGATATAGTTTTGAACAAGTGAGGGTCGCGGCTACTAATTATCGCTTGTCACCACTTTTTCGTCGGGAACGTTCTACCTGGTTTATATAGCCTTGCCTCCGAATATCGATCAGTTTCATCGACATTCACATTGGCGGCGCGCATGCGCACTGCGAATATCGATGACCTTGAATGCACATTCGCGCGCGGGAAAACTACGCGGCGAGGAAGGGTAGGTAGCGTCTAGGGTTATTTGATATTGTTTATTGGTTATTTTAAATGTTAATATTACCGTGATTGCTAGAGCTACCTTTTCATAAACGTTCAAAGTAAAATATATGATATCAGGCTGCTGCATCCCATGAGCAACCTGCTCTCTATGCCTCGTTCCTTTCTACTTTGGTAAGCATCTACTTTGGAAAGCATGACACATTACTCTTGTCTGTTCTGTCGTACATCTGGTCTGGAGTAATGCATTTTAGCAGAACCTGAAATGCCAGGGGCGCAGGAACTACTTTCCGACTGGGGGGGGGGGGCACACCATAATAGAGATCAACCTAGGGTACCCCCAAATCTAGTTTTCTCACCAGTTTTAGGCCACTTATTTTTCACCCCTCGGCTTTTTCAACAAAAAAAGAAAACATTTGCAAAAAAGTGTGGTATTCCGTCTCAAAGCTGTGGGGGCCCGCCCCCACGGCCCCAGAGTTCGGGGGGCAAGCTGCCCCCACTGCCCCCCGGCTCCCGCGCCTATGTGAAATGCTCCGCCTTGAAAAAAGATGTTCACGATTGAGTGTTCGCAAGATCATAGGCTGTGGAACGGGGGGGGGGGGCTCTGGAGCACCATGCCCCCTTGATTTGGGCATTTTAACAGTAGCCCTATGAGGCGACCAACCTGAGTGTTTGCAAGATCATAGGCTGCGGAACGGGGGGGGGGGCCTCCAGAGCACCATGCCCCCTTGATTTTGGCATTTTAAAGGAAATAGTTCACTTTTAACATGGGGTTTTGAACTGGAATAGCAGTTTCGTAGCTTGAGCTGAGACTAGCACAAATCAGGAGCTTTTACGGCTCAACGATCATCCTAGACGAAGATATTCCATTTCTCGTTCCGAAAAGAGTGCCTTGCAGAGGAATGTGTGCCTTGCACAGGAATGCAGCCACGTCATCGTCAGCCAATCAGCATGCTGCTTACAGCCAATGCAGCATGCGTACGTTTGAACTACGCAATATGATTGGTCAACGCGTAATAAGCTTCCGCGTCAAACACTATTTTACATAGAATATAGTTCGTCCTATATTAAAATATAGAAAATAATTGTTTTTACAAAAAGGTTTTATTTTATTTTCTTATCATTTTGAGCATAACAAATCATAAATCCATAGGAAAATACTAATTTCAGGAAAGTGAACTGTTTCCTTTAACAGTAGCCTTATGAAGCGACCAACCAGGAATTCCTCAATCCAGCAGATGAGTGGGGTGTTGAATGTTGATCACTTGCAATTGTAACTTGGCTAGCAGAATAGGGTGGGATACTACGTCAAAGGCCTTGGGGAAGTTAACCCGCGCGGGGCTGGGGGGGGTAAATTTTACCCCCCTCGCGAATTTTTGCGATATCTCAAAAACGGCGGCGCGCAGCGCCGCCAAACTTTCAGTACCTTTTCTTACATCAATTTGACACGTTCCCTGAAAATTTGAGCGAAATCCGTCGGAAAATTTTTGAGAAATTGACGTTTTAGTGACGTCATGTTCGCCATTTTCGCCTCAAAAACGGCAAAAGTTCAAACGCCGCTAACATCTTCATTTTTAAAGGAATCAAGACGTAACAAAAAAGGTTATACGTAATTTTACTTTGTCTATCAAATGGCTATCTCGGTTTTTTGAAAATTTTGGATTTTGGCCTAATTTTTTTAAAAAAACTGAATTTTTTGGGAAAATCATTATAAAATCCAAAAATTTGAGTCTATCGAAAAAACCGGAATATATGTCAGAGAAGTGGTCTATGTGCACCTACATACCAAATTTTAGAAGAATCGGTTCAAAAATGTGGGAGTTATTCAAAATTTTATGACGTCACGACACACAAAATTTTTGAAAAATGACTTTTTTGGAAGTTCTAGACCTCGTACGGAAACAAAAATAGCACCATTCGATTCGCCGTGAAAAACTGCATCAGATAGACACCTTTTTAGGCCTTAACAACCAACTTCAAAATTTGACCTCACTTGACCTGACCTTGACCTGACCTCGACCTGAAATTCATCCAGAGGTGGTCCATATCACTTATTGAGTGTGCCTATTGAATTCTATGAGTAAAATGACCCATAAAACATGTGTCGCACATGCCCTTTTCTATATTTTGTTTTTTGGTGACCTGACCTGACCTGACCTGACCTTGACCTTGACCTCTGAATGATATTGTATGCAACGAATATTGTCTTGGTAGCCTAAGAACACGTTTTGGGCGATCAGTCTCAGTCCATGACTCCATTCTTCGGCAACTACGGTGCAAGGCCGATACTGTAGAAACTTGCAATTTGTACCCTTGACCTGACCTTGACCTTGACCTCAAACTTTAAATTAAGTACATGTTTTTAGTAGTTCGTGATGAGAGCTTTCGATTGGCGTTTGAATTTTCCAAATCGGACCATTAGTTTGGGAGATAACAGGGGGGTAAAATTTACCCCCCCCAGCCCCGCACGTTCGGCTGGAGACCCCAGCCCCGCGCGGGTTAAACGTGATGACGTCA